TATGAAGCTGTCATTATCTATTTCTTTTCTAAGAGTGTTTTCTAGTTATATGCTTTATATTTGGCATATGGAAAAAATATTACCAAAACTCTAAGCTAAGTATTATGGTTAGAATGTCTTTCATTTTACTCCCCCCTCCAACATAAGTCACAAACCCCCCATTATGGAAATAGCTTATAAAACTGTACTTTATTCATGCAATAATTCAATAAAGAAAATGGGTTTAGAATCTTTTTAGATGTAAATCCTATGCTGGGCTCCATGAAGGAATGGTTTTACAATAAAGTGCTTATAAAGACTACCACAGAATGTCACTGCCAAAGAACTTTAGGAGTCATCTGGTCCCAATTCTTCTTTTACAGAGTAGGAAATGAAGCCTGTTAAAACTCATCAGAAAAACTGATGCATTCTTAATTCTTCCTTGCTTTTAACATGGCATTCTCGTAACTATCCTATCTGATCACCTACCAATATGAATTTCTATCATCATATACATGCATACTGTCTCAACTTTGCATGGTTTAGAGTTAGCTAACTATTCACGTTGTACCATGGTACAACATTTCTGCTTTACTCTCAGTAACTTTTCTGAGTATTTGCATAAGCATAGGCTTGCTTCAGGCCCAAGGCCAGTGCAGGATAGGAGTTCCCGTGCATAGGCATTGGCACTAGGCTTCCTGGATTGCCGTCCCAGTTTTGTATTTATCTAGCCCTGTGATCTTGGACAGGTAATTACTTTAAGTATTAGTTTCATCTATAAAATAAAGATAAATAACACAGGTTGTTGTGAGATTTAACTAGATAATGTATTTAACCTGCCAAGCAAATGGTAAATTGATAAATTGTATAGAGAAGTAGTAAAAGACTAGTAATATTAGTAATAATAGTGATTAGCAAGAGTAGCTTTGGGCTCTTAGCAGGGAGAAAAAAGTTCTCCTAAGAATAATGCCTAACAAAACCTCAAGTGTACATGTCTCTGATAATAATAGTGACCAGTAAACATCATTTAATGATATGAAAAAATAAAAATATAACTGATGGATAATTATTCATGTTTTGTATTATAATAATGATATAAAAGTATAGATGAGGCACGAGAGTATGGACCAATTTCATGTGTATCAGTTAAGTTACAATACAGAGCCCGAAGGTCTCCATGAATCTAAAATGGCTTTTACTTCTATGGAGCAAGTATATTTTAGATTTAAAAAGAAGGTTTGAATTTTGGCTCTGCCACTTACAAGTTGCCTGATTTGGGAAAAATTAGTGTTTCTGTGCTTCATTTTCCACATTCGTAAAATGAGGATAGTATTAAAATCTTGGTGGAAATGGAATAAAAAATAAAACAGGCAATAATTGAGATATGTGTAGTACAATAACTATACAAAGCAAGTATTTCTAAAGCTGTTATCTAATATTGTTCAAAAGAGTGAATCTTGCCTTCTAAGACAAAAGGCAAAGACATTTCTATGGAATTAAAAGGTCCTTGATCTGAAACCAATTAAGTTCTTGTTCTCATTTTTGGAAGTGATTCTCATCATAAGTCCCTATGCTTTATACCTAAGGTTCATTCCCATAAGCTAGAGATACAAAGAGTCTTGGAAGTAAATCCAAGTATTAGTAAATCTGATTTAAAAATGGACCTTATTTTTCCCCAGAAAAAAAGAAAATCACCCTAAAGCATCAATCAGTAAATAAGAAAAATAAAAAACAAAACAGTCAACTAAAAGCTGTCAGTGGGAACATTAGGAAATCAGAGCTATCAGAAAGTTAAGACAATGGCAGGCTGCAGCAGAGGCCCCTAGTTGTCCCAATCCCATTCTGCCACTCTTCCCAAATCACCAAACATGCACTTGTTAGGGAGTCACCCAGAAGAAAAACTATATTCTTCGTCTTCCCTGCACCAAAGTGTGGCCACCTGACTGGGTGTGGCCAGTGGGATGGAGGCATCATATGGCAGCTAATGGGGACCCTCTTGAAGAGAACATGGCACAGGCTTGTGCCTCCCTCTCCATCTCTTCCTCTATCTACCCTCTGGCTGGAAGGAGGGTGCGGGTTGGGTCACGGGGATCAGGGCCGATCCAGGGCCACTGTGTGTGGCTGCACTGATGCACGGTTGTACAGCATACTAGGGTGAGAGGCACTAACAAACGGCACAGCCAGGGTCCCAAACAATGGGAAGGCACAGCACTAGCCCTGGACAAATGACATCCAGGTTTGGTTTGTGAGAGAATAAAACTTTCTATGGTTAAACTGCTTTTCACATAGGTTTTGTTTTATATGCAGCAAACTTAATTCAGTGTACACAACAAGAAATGTCTAGTCATCTCTTCCACATTTGTACTGAAATGTAGCAATAAATGTAGAGTGAAAGCAGCTCTGGAACTAGGAACGTGATCATTGTGTATATTGCTTTCTCAAAGGTATATGGACTCAGAAGGAAACCTAACTAGCCATGTTATGATTAGGGTGCAGTTATGATTAGGGTGGTAGGTCACAGGTGTTCTTTTTTTGGGGGGGGTCAGTATAAAAGATATTTTCCTTTTCCTTTATACTTTCCTGGGCTTTTCAAAAGTTGTTAATGAGCATATAATACTTGCACAACAATTAAAAAAGCCAACTTAAATGCACAAATAAACCTGCAAAGTTAAAAGCAAAATTTGTCTGAAACATCATTTTTAGAATCGATACATTTGTCCATGGAAAATATTATGTTTCTTAGGCACCCTCTGCCAAACCCTACAAGTAGGCACATTCCTGTCTATACTCACGAGGCTTCTGGAGTGTTTTGTTCTGCCCAATCCCCACCCCTCATCTCAACTGGTCTGACCCAGGCCTAGGCCTGAAGGTACCTTTAAATATAGTTTTTTCCACGATACAGTTCTTTTGGTGGCAGTGATAGTTCCTTCCCTAAATCCGCACAGCATATTCCTACAACTTATATCTCTTTTTACATTATACTATTGCTATTAGTAAACATTTCATATCTCTAAGACTGTTATGTACTTATCTATTCATTCATTTGTTCATTCACATGTTCACTTACTCATATAACAACTGATTATTAAATATCTGTGATATGCCAGACATTGCACAAGATACAAGGAGATAGGAGGAAAAAAATAAAAATAAAACATGTTCTGTCCACTCAAAAAGTAAGCAAACCATGGATAAGAGAGACAGAGTAGAAAATAGGTAAATTTAATACAATGTGGTAATTTCTAGAGGAGAGAAATGTATACAATGATAAGGTGACAGAATCCTTAATTCTACTTGAAGAAAGTCATGGACACTCTCACAGAGGTACTGATTCTTAAATTAATTTTTTACAAGAATAGGCATTGTCCAGGCACATAAGACCATGGGAATTGTGGGAGGGAAGGGTAAAGAAAACTACATAGGGCCCCAATTAGTGAAAAAATATTGCAGAAAGCAAAGCTCAGTTTTGTGTGGTTAAAAGCATAGGGTGCGAGGGGAAGCTTGAGAGAGACTAGGAGCTGGGAATGTCACATGTCCCCCACACTTTAAACATAATGATTTAACAAATGTTTGTTAACTGTTATTGTCACATATGCTCTGTTCCAGGCATTGAGTACCTATATTAGTTGAACAGACAATACCAGAACATACTTTATAGATATTTAGGGGACAGCAATGCTACACAATATCATAGTATAATGTGTGTGTATATACACAAGGGTGGGCAAAAGTAGGTTTACAGTTGTTTGTATGGAAAAAGACATGCAGGTTATAATTATTAAAATAGCTTTATTAACTCTGCATTTCATGTACACACAACTGTAAATCTACTTTGGCCCACCCCTGTATGTGTGTGTGTGTGTGTGTGTGTGTATAATATTGCAGGACGTGACATTTGGTCCTGTCCAAAATGTCCACACTTAGAAAACCTCTCTGGGTTCAGATAGTCCATAATGCTTATTTAGACTTTTGGTTTACTATCATGTTTTATTGGTCCAATAATTGTGTTACGGTTGCACTGTCAATAGCAACCCTCTTTTTCTCAGTAGCCTAGCTGGTAATGACGCATGGGATGAGCTGGATGGGTTGGTGTGGACCAAATGTCTCCAGGGATGTTTGTGACTGGACCAAATATCAAGGATCTTTGGGCATGGATCATATGTCTCTGTGACATCTTAGACAGGGTCAAATATCCACTAATCATATATAAATAAAATGTATAATGCATTGCAATGCACTGCCTCAATTTTCTCATTTCCTTGGACTAGGAGCCTGAACTAATGTTTTAAGTAATTATAATGTGTGACATTTAAAGGAGAAGACTGTTATGTGGGTACATGCCCAGACCACAGCTGCTTTCTGAGCCTATATTTTAAAAAGCTGTCTGAATGCAGTAAATGTGGTCACTCCAGTGATACAGCCTCATCCTATTTAAAAAAGAAGTTGCAAGAAGTGGGTTTCCTCAGCATAAAATTCGTTATTCCACTGCTTGATTCTAAATGGCATATATTAAATATCAATTAAATATAATTATCTTAAGTAATGAAGGGAGGGGAAGTTATAGGCTCATTTGAGAATAACATTTAATACTATAAGTAAATACTTATTGATCACAGTACAGTATGCTCTTTTTTTTCCTCAAAAAATATAAAGAAAAATTAATACATTATATTGTTAGATATACTCACAAAGATGTAGAGATTAGGATATGAACATATTTCTAAAAGCCTTTTGAAAACTTTAGAGCACTAAAATAGTATTTCTGGTTTTTCAAGGGTGCAGTCCGAGACATTAAATTACTGTGTTCAAAACCAAAGGAAATTATATTCCAAATAGTAACTACCATTACTCTTCTAATTTCAGGAATTTTTATAGGTTTTTCTAAGTACCAAGTATCTGCAGTATAACTTTATTTTGTAATATGAAGAGGTACTGTTGTGTTTTCTGAATTTTTGTTCTAAAATGTTGCATTCTATGGAAACTTGACTGATTAGAGTCTAAAAAAGAAGTTTGTTTCATACCTTCAATAGGTTTTGGTACAAAATGTGACGAGGGCTTGGTTTTCTTCACTCTGTTCCCCTTCATAATTTGACCTTCTTTATTGAGTCCCAGAAACCACGCTCGGCCTGATTCTTGCTGACGGTACAATGTGGAAGAATAGATCACATAGTAGTTTTCAAACACAGATTCCTTAAATTTGCACTCTGGAGTGAAAACATCCTGCAGAGAGAAAGAAAAAAAGATACAAAAGAGAGAAAGGATTTTAAAATGAATCAGCAATTGCTTAAACACAATGAACCTGAAATATAGGTCCACTGTTCAGAACAAATGAGAAGGAATTGCACATAATTTCTATTAGCCCTTGGTTATAAATATTCATCATGCAAAATCAAAAAACAAGATTTTATTCCTAAACAGCCTTTCTCCTATAGAACACTACTGCTTAGGTTATAGTCACTCACTGGTCTAATATCAAGACTATGCCCAGGTCCAAAAGCTGATCCCAGGATGTTTTGTAAAGTTAAGAGACTGGCCACTGTACACTTTAGTGGCTGTTAGCATGTAAAATGTATACCTGGGAATCAAAATCAAACAAAACAACAGCACACACATGCTCACCAGATGCTTTTGAAGAGTCTCTCCTAGAGGTACATAGCTAAAGCTTGTTCCACAAAATCACCATACGCTACCTTTTTGCTTAATGTCAGTAACTTTCCCTTTAATTGCTTGGAAACATATTTTGTTTTGTTTTTACTTAGTAATCAAAATCTCAGGTAAAAATACCCAGGAATAAGTAGTAGAAAAAATATTATTACATTGTCTGATCTTCAATGAAACAGGATGAGATTTTTGTTCAAAAAGGAACCTGGTGGTGAACACACAATACAATATACAGATGATGTATTATAGAATTGTACATCTGAAACCCATATAATTTTATTAACCAATGTCACACTGATAAACTCAATAAAAAAATTTTAAAACGAAGGAACCTTAAAAATCCTCTATTTCAATTCCATTATTTTGACAAGTGAGACAACCAAAAGATTATTAGTTCAAAGTTACACCAAAAAAAATTAGTCAATGCCAGAACTCACACTTGTTGCTTCACAATCACTACCTCTCAAGCTCACTTTTTCTGCCTGATTCTTATTTATTGACTTATGAGGAGATTTTATAATAAATGCAATAAAAATCTTGGCTATTGTAAATAATACTGACATAAACATGGGAGTAAAGATATTTCCTCAGTATCCTGATTTCATTTCATTTCCTTTGGATATATCCCCATGTGGGACTGCTGGATCATAAGGTAGCGTAATAAACAAAGAAGGAGAAAATGGTAGCCATGTGAAGTACTGGATATGTTAACTAGCTTTACTGGAATGAATATTTCACAGTATATTCACATATATAAAATCATCAAGTTTTGTACCTTAAATATACACAATTTTTAATTGTTAACTATACCTCAATAAAGCTGGAAAAAAAGCCCATCATGGGTTAGATTCAAACACAGCTAAAATGAGAAGTTAGATAATACCAAATGTTGACAAGGATGTGGAGCAACTGGACCTCTCATACATAAATGATGGGAAAGTAAACTGGTAAAACTATTTTGGAAAATATCTTGCAGGATTTATAAGTACAAGTATATTCTGTGATCTAACAATTCTAATCCTGGATTTATACCCAAATGAAATCTATCTGTTAATAGTTGTCCTTTGGTATCTGCACAGGATCGGTTCTAGGGATCCCCAAAGTACCAAAATCTGCAAATGCCCAAATCCTTTATATAAAATGGCATAGCATTTGCATATAACCTATGCAAATCCTCCTGTATACTTTATATCATCTCTAGATGAACTATAAAACCTAATACTATATAAATTTTATGTAAATAGTTGCTATGCTATACTGTTTAGGAAATAATACTCCCCCCCAAAAGTCCATATATGTTCAGTTGAGACCCAGCTATGGTAGGCCTAACTACATAGTACACATCAACAGAGCTTAACTTTTTTTTTTCAAATATTTTCAATATGAGGTTGGTTGAATTTGTGGATGTGGAACCCATGGAAACAGAGGGCAGACTATATCTACCTGTATCTATCTATCTATCATCTATCTATCTATCTATCTATCTATCTATCTATCTATCTATCTATCTATCTAATCATTATCTATCTCCCAAAGACATGTACGAGAATGGTCATAGAAGCTCTATTCATAATAGCCCCAAACTGGAAACAACTCAAATGGCCATCAATAGTAAACAAATATGCAATATATTCAGATAATAAGATACTACAGACCAGTGAAAATAAACAAACTACAACTATAAACAATATGAATGATTCTTATCAACAAAATGTGGAACAAAAGAAGCCAAACAAAGAAAAAACAGACAGCTACATACTTTATGATTCCATTTATATAAAGCTCAAAAATAGGTAAAACTAATTACTGTGGTAGAGCTCAGAACATGGTTCCTTTACTCAGGGAGGGTAGTTACTGAGAGGAAGCATGGGGAGGTCTCTGGGGTGCTGGTGATGATCTATTTCTTGATCTAGGAGCTTGTTACATGAGTGTGTTCACTTTATGAAAATTCCTTGAGCTCTATGATGAATTGTACACTTCTTTGTGTATGTTATTTGCCAATAAGAATCCATTGAAGGGTCAAAAATGTGGTGAAAATTAAATGACAATTAGTACTTCCTGAAATCACTGTCCTCTTAAAATCAAGTTTTTCTCACACAATGAGCTAACATATGATGCATGGCAATTTTATACCAATAACAATCATTCACTCATAGGTTACAAATTTTGTTTAAGATGAAAATGTAACAATTTTGGATCACATAACTTATTAAAGAAAAAAATATTTTCTATCCTTTCTCCAATTCATTCTTTACACTTCTCATTTAAAGTAACTTTTTTTCAATTATGGCTGACATTTAATATTATATTAGTTTCAGGTTCTACTTCTCATCTTCTCATTGTAGGAGATTATATATATAATGCATATGTGTATATGTTTATTTACAAACAGTGCTTGTAAACTTTTTAAGTTAAAACCTATCACTTTAACAATAACATCAAGACATAAAAAGAACAATGGAAAAAGAATTTCCAACAACACATGGAGAAATGCACAATAAATTGTTTCTGGAAGATCATTTGGATTCTCCAGATTTCAGGTTTATATTCCAAACTGTCAGGCTGATCTTTGGCAAATCAGTTAACCTCTTTGAACCTCAATTTCCACTACTGAAAGCTGAAGACACATTACTACAGACTCATGGGGCTTTAAAGATTAAATTACACAACACATGTGCAAGCTCTTTAATACCTGTAAAAACCCATACAATTATCTGACATTTCTTTTACAGAGAATACTCTGAGTTCATAACTTTAAAAATTTCTGCATTTCAGAGTGATACCCACTTAAACTACATTCTTAATAAGTAAAGAATGTTATGCGATTCACACACAACCACTTTTGCTCCTAGCTTTACCTGCAAAATGTGTTTTCCAAGTCATGTAGAAATACATGACTTGTCTAATCCTGTGTAGTTAATTTAATTAAATTGTCCCATATTTCTGATTTATCTTTATCCCATTCTTTGCAGATACCCATTTCCTCTTTACTGCTCTGGCTGTAATAATCCATGGGATGAATGTGAAATGAATGAATGAACACTCATTGCACTGCAGCACTGGTCTCCTTGCTGTTTCTCAGAAACAAGCACAACCCATTTTAAGTCCTTCACAGCTGATAACCGTTGTTCTTAGAAACCTCTTCGATAACATATTAACCCAGCTTGATCGCTCATTTCATTAAGGTCACTGCTCAAATGTGACTCTCAAATGAGACTTCCCCTGACTACCTTACATAATTTAGCACTTCCTACAGTTACTTTCTAATCTTTTGCTTTTTTCTACATAACATTGCCTGACATTATATTACATATGAATCTGTTTAAGCTTTTTGATGGTAAGTGCCATGATTGTTATAGTCCACTCATATTCTCAACAGTTCTTGGAATTAAAAACAAAACAACTACTTTAACAAAATAATTTAGTAAAAAGACATCATGAGACCTGGAATTTTATTCTTGCATTTCTCTAATATGTGTTATTAGGAAGATCACTTTCCTTCTTAGGTTCCCTGTTCTCCTAAATGTAAAAGAGAAGTGTTTGTTGAACTAGGCAATAACAAATGTCCCTTTCGGCTTAAGTCTTTTATATCTTTATTATTCATGTAAAATAAATAATGTCTTGACATTAAAGAGCCAACATAAAAATATTATTTCAAAATTAGTGCTTACATACCAAAAAATGGTAATAATATATTATTAAGAAAACAATGCAAAACAGTAATAAAATATAATAAGAGAAAATAACTTTACTATTATGGAAGTAATTACGACTAGTGATTCTCTCCATAATATGTAAAAATTACTGATTTTTCAAATATATGCTAGACACAAGGATCCTCTCATTTTGCTCTTTTTCCTTTCCAAACAGAATCCAAAACCTGATCTCTTTTCAATGTAAAAAAGCATTTTTCCTGTTTGCTGTGCAGTGTTGTTTATTGGGTAGTGTATAAGGAAAAAAAGAAATAAAACATTTGATGATTCTTTAACATAATTTACATCCAACAACTCCAGAGATAGATAGTACCTTTGATTATATAACCTTTGAATATATGGCTGTGAAGCGTCTGGTTTGCTAACTTCATTAATGACTTTTAGGTGCACAGACCTTGCAAATCTTTGGTATATTAGCAGTTGCTTTGCCAAGTGTATTGTCGGACATAGTGACATTAAATCAAGCAAGAGAACTATTGTTTTCCATCCTGACAAGAGGCAAAGGAAATGCTAAAATATATTATCTCAAATGCAGCACATTTAAAAAAAATCAGAACAAATCTAATTTTATAACTTAAAAATACTCTGCAGATACAGAAATCTTTATATACTTTTTAGATAATTTTTACTGGAAAACTGCTGAGTTAATTTGTCTAAAAATAAAGGTTCTTTGTTAACATATTCTTTGCACTATCTTACAAAATGACAAGGTAAATTTATATCATCATAAAATAATAAAAACTGTAGTATATAGGAAACATAATTGTGGAGGAAGATAGACCCATAGATTCAAATACCTGATTTTATAACTTGGACAAGTTATTTAATTTCTCTGAAGTTCTGTGT